ATATATATATAGATACACACACACATACACACATATACACATATACACACAAACGCACACACACACACAAACACACCCACACCCACACACACACACACACACACCCCACACACACACACACCCCACACACACACACACACACCCCACACACACACACACACCCACCCACACACACACACACAAACACCACACACACACACAAACACCACACACACACACACACACGCACAACACACACACACACGCACACGCACACGCACACGCACACGCACACGCACACGCACACGCACACGCACACGCACACGCACACGCACACGCACACGCACGCACACAACAGCACGGCGACGGGCGACGACGACAAAGACGCCAACAACGACCGACGACAACGGCGACGACGACGACAACGACAGCGGCGACGCCGACGACGACAACAACGACGACGACAGCGACCAGCGCCGGCAACAGCGACAGCACCAGCGACAACAACGACGACGCAGACGACAACAACAACGACAAAACCCCAACAACAGCCACAGCAACAACAACAACAACAACCACAACAACAACACCCACAACAACAACAACAAACAACCAACACACACGCACACAGTCAGAAACCGGACTTTCGCCTGTGCTCGCTTGCGACATCGAGCAGCTAGTAGTCCCAGGCACCGTGAGCTGAAGAACTCACTGGTATGACATCTAATTATTAAGGAGACAGCACCACCTCACCCCGCATAGACTACACAAACGGGGATGCGGCAGCGAAAAAAGCTGAAACATCAAACTTGGGAGTGCTACCGGCCATGATCTGTGCTGTGTCATGGGGCCCGAAGTGCATGATCATACTCACTGCCTCGTCCGAGAGGACGGTTTTCGACCCTAAGACTGAGAGCTCTTTCGAGGAGACTTTGACCTGCAAAGACAGTTTTCTGACCTTTGCAGTGCTCTGTCCGCCTGCTCCTGCCAACTGCAGCTTTAGGACGAACTTGCGAGCATCACCTCCTGCAACTGCAAAGCTCTGCGGCCCAACCGGTTTACGGAAAGTCCCATGACGCTTGATTTCCAAGGGCTCCACAGGAATGGGCTCGCAACTCGGCCCTCTCCAGTACTCTACCCTCTTTGCTACTTCAACTGGATCAAAGCCACGGCGAAAGGTGACCTGGATGGTGCGGGCGCCTGTGCTGGTATCCAACTCCTTGATGGCATTTTTGAGTTCGCGAATCGCTGTTCTGGCAGCATCCACCTGATTGTTGCAAAACGCCATTTCAAGCGCGAATGACGGCGACTCCTTGGCATCCACCTGCTTGGTGGCATCTCTCAAGGGACCCGTTTCGCGGCAGGCGTAGCTTGCAACATCAGGCTGCAACTTCTGAGACGGGGGGCAGGCACTACTATTCAGAGGAGGCGCTTCCTCCACCCCCAAAATCTCCTTTGCTACCTTCACCGCTTCATCATCAGACATCTCGCCTTTGTAAAGGCGAACCAGAGCAATGAAACCAAGTTTCATGCTACTTGTGCTTGTCATATGAGACACAGCCGGCAACTGGTTGTCAACAAGGTCGATAGGCACAGGACTCTCTGCTTTGTCTTCCTGATCCGGTGACCTTGAGCGAGATGGAGAGTGATCCACTTTTGAACTGCTGAAACTACGCACACTTCTTGTTTCAGACCTGCCCCTGCGTCGATTATCACTCTCCAAAAGCTTGAGGTACTCACAGAAGACAGCATTAACTCTATCTTGTTCCGAGACCACTCGCGACAACATGGCTCAGTACAGCAAGGACCACAAGCCTACTCCCTAACAAAGGGGCCTAGAACGCCTTGAGCCAAAGACCAACGAAAGGGTATGAAGCCCTTCACAGAGAGGCAGACCTGCAATCAGACAATATAAAATAGATTCACTTGTCAGGTAGATCGGAGCCCATCCGGTTCCAGAAGCATCAGCCGCACGAGCGCAAAATTTACGTACCTTAGGAGCAGAGTCATCGCAAGCACAAACGCAGAGGCAACGCAAGCACCAACAGCAGCAGAAGGAACAAAACACACGGACGCACACACACACACAGAGACACACACACAACCAAAAGACAAGGACACACCACGACAAAGACGAGCAGTCAGCGGCAGGACGCGGACGTGGCCCCCCGAACGGGGCACACGCACCCACTTCCTGACCTTAGGAGCAGTGACAACACCAGCGCAGCAACAGCGGCAGAACAGGGGACCAAACACAACACACAAGACGACAGAAACGCAGAAACACAACAAAGACAAGCAGGCATCAGCAGCGGCAGGAGCGGACGTGGCCCCCCGAACGGGGCACACGCACCCACTTTCTCATTTAAGGAGCAGCGTGTGTAGAGGCAGCAGCAGCAGCAGCAGAAACAGGGGACCACAAAACACACAACCACCGCAGGCAGAGACACGACAACCACACAAAGACGAGCAGGCAGCAGCAACGGCAGGAGGCGGACGTGGCCCCCCAAATGGGCACACGCACCCACTCCCTGACCTCAGGAGCAGCAGCAGCACAGGCAGCAGCAGCAGCAGCAGCAGCAGCACAACCACCGCAGACAGGGACACGACACACGACAAAGACAAGCAGGCAGCGGCAGGGGACGGACGTGGCCCCCCGAACGGGGCACACGCACCCACCTCTTGACCTTAGGGGAAGCAGCAGCAGGAACCGCAGAGCAAC